TTTATACCTTGAATATTTCAGCTTTACATTGTATTATCTCTTCACAGTGACATCTAATAAGTATTTAAATCCAAAAAAACAAGAAAAGAAAATAAACGAACACTAAATCCTTTCTTTTTGATGCACTTTTTCATTCAACGTGGAATTGTTTTTTTTAATCGCTGCTTTTTAGTATTCACATTTGACACAATTTTTTTTGGAAACAAACCATTTTAATCCACTTTCATGCTGTTCACACACACTGCTGTACATTTGCATTGACTGTATCTGATTCACCGTGTTGTGTCTCTGATTTTGAATAGGGCAAACAGCTCTGTTTTAATTAACTGTGTGTGTGAGGGTGGGGGGTGTTGGGGAGGGGGGGTGAGTGTGTGTGAGTTTGTGTGTTTCCCATGTGTGATATTAGTATGCCAAGCAGGAGGACAGACAGCTAGTTCCAATATCTTGTTGTTTGGCATTGATTCAATGTCAGCTAATTGTCACCTTGTGCGTGTGCAATAGTTTGTGTGTGYACGGTTGTGCGAGTTTGCGAAGACGTGCATTTGGGTCTAAATGTCCTTATAAACATTAAAACACTTCGAAAAACAGACTTTTAATCAGTCCTCACTTTGAAAAGGGAATGTAAATAAGTCTGTGGAGTGACCTGTGTGTTGGAGTGTGTGTTTGTTTCTTTAAGTGAGTKTGTGTACAAGTGATTAAACAAGTGCTTCATGGTCCCAGTGGGAGTCTAAAATCTCACACATGGTATTCAGGAAAGTGTGTATCTCAGTGTGCCCGTGTGCCAAAAATGTCCTTTGTACAATCCTCTGTAGAGCGCAGTCAACAATACATCAAACATATGCACGCTGTCTGGGGTTAAAGCAAATTATCATCACAGTTGGAAATGTGGATACTTCCTGATGACCTGTTGACTTGACTTTTTTCAGTTCTCACTATCTGAGCTCTGATATGTAATTAGACATGTTAATGTTTACAGTGTACATATTACAAAAAAATGTGCCGGAGTGACATTGCTATGAGGAAACATGGCTTGCTACTGACACAAAATTAACTGTTATAAAGTTAGCACAAAAAGTAAAGAAACATGTGTTTGGTAGATTATTTCTTCATTGAAGTATTGCTTCTTGGCAATAAATCTTATGAAGTTGGAAAGCCTGTTATGCTGAGTTCACACGACAAGATAATTGGGCCACTTTTTGGCCTGATTTTGCCTTTCCAGCAGTCTTAAGGACACACTTATTACCATGATGGCTCTAAACATAATTTGTGAGATTTTCCTGCCATAGGTGAAGTGTTAAAAGTGATATAGTCGGCTCAGGAGGATATCAGGACCAGTCCGATATTGAACATAGTGGATTGTCTWGGCCCAATAYCCCAGCATGTGTGCTGTTCCCCAAGAACAAGAAACCTGTTGAACGCGACTCGTATAGCGAGATGACAGAAAGTTGGAAGGAAATACCAAAGMCCAAACTGCCATGTCTCACCAGAACATCCAGTGGACATCGGAGATGTCTTTTTTTTTCTTTGGCTGTGTCCAAAACGGCAGGCTGGGTCCTCCGAAGGCCGARTTCGTCGGCCGCATACGTCATAGCTCCGCGACGAAGGACGTCCCAAACCGAAGACTCCTCCGATGCGGCCGACAAATACGTCCTTCCTTTTCCCCGATTTGAAGGACAGGTCTGATGGATCCTTCCCGGCCCAGCATATCCCATAATGCATTGCGGCCCAACCGGAGATTTTTTTAAGCTAGTAATGGCGGACGAAGCGAGAGAAAAGAATACGTTTTAAATAAAAAATATGGCGATATAAAAATTTAAAAATTTTATCGGTTGCAATTCTAATACTTTTATCATTTGTTTAGACATGTTTTTAAATATTATTTTTATCATAAAAAAACGCGAAATAAACATGCACCCACATTCTTCAAATGTTACCTTTAAGTTAATTTTATTGTTTTGTGATATTAATAATGCTAATATATTTATATTTCTCTAATTTTGATCTATTTTTGCTTCTGTTTAGCGTCGTCATGGTTGCGAGGTGACATGACGCACGCGGGGGTGGAGGGGAGGCTTGACCGTCCAAATTCACAGCCTCTTTTTTTCCGGTCTTCCCCGTCTACCAAGGACTCGGCCCACCTCGACAGGGTAGTCTGGGTCCTCCGGAGGACCCGGCCTGTCGTTTTGGACACAGCCTTTGTTAACCCTCTACGGTACGCATAATGATGCCAGTTAGAAAAAATTATGTTTGGGATGTTTTTTTACATAAAATAGACTAAATAAACATGATCAAGAGACATTTTTAAAAAATATTTTTTGTTATTTTTTGTTGACGTTGCCATATGGCAACACTGTACTACAGTGGAAATTATTGAAAACAAGAGAATTTAGTTTTTCATTGTAAAACCCTTTATTTAACAACTCAGATTATAGTCTTAAAAGTCCCCAATATCATTAAAAGTTAAAAATAGTCCACAAACTATCACCATTGCTTCTTCCTCGTCAGTCTCTCTCTCTCGAGATTTTGTGAGATTTCCCATCTGACATCTGAATTGTGAGTGAAATGTGTTCATGTGCGGAGTGTCGTCTTTTGTCGTGCAGCTGTGCACCGCACAACGCAGGACCAAACCTGTTGTATCTATGATTTTTTTATGTCATGAGCGCTTATGTTTTGAAAATCAACTGAAATTTGTAACATTTTGCTGTGTGAACCAGGCATTAATTTCCCATTTAAATGGTGCCACATTTGTGGGTTGCRCACATTTAAAATTTGCCAAATCTTCTCTGCCAATGCCAAATAGCTTATTTAGCTGTTGCTATTGACACTTGCTTTGAGTTTCTGGTACCAGCAGGAGCTGCCAATCAGTTGCCCGGTAAAATTTACTGCCAAGAATAATTGTTACAACAAAGACACAATCTATCAAATATAAATTCCCTTACTTGTTCTGCTAAGTATATTTTGTGTATTAGTGTATAGGTTTTTAATCAAAACTTAATTAAGGTCTTATTCGTATAGTTCGGATCTTTTATGGTAAGGTTGAGTAGAAAGGGTAAAAACAGTTATCTTGCCTGTTAGAGAGATCTTTGTATGATCTTAATTTTGAACAAGGTCAAGACCTTTTATAACCCTTTTTTGTTGCTAGCAATTTAATATTACACCAAAAAAGTTATTACAGTTGGAACTATAATATTCTGTGGCCCAGACTAAATTGGAAGTGCTCCAGTTAGCTGCATTTGCCACTATTTTCACTTGCAAGTAAACAGAGAAATTTATTTTGGTCTTGTCCCTGCTCAKACTAACTCTTACCAGTACATCAGTCCTATTCTTCAAAGTGAAGTCATTCAAAGAGCTATCTRTCACAGGTAAGATATTAACTGTTCAGAAAGCTACAGTTTCCACAACAAATAAACATCAGAAGGCTGTAAAGACTGTAAAGTTCCATTGCTATTCAGAGAAAAAAAAWTTAATCAATTTTTTTACATCTTCAATGGATATTTGCATGTACAATTTACAGTGTAACGTTGTATCTAAAGGGCAGGCAACCATTTGGTGTTGGAGGATTGACTAAATGAATTATCTCCACCCTCCCTTCTGTCTCTCCAGATGTCTATGTGCCCTTTCATTTTCTCATACTTTGTCTTATGTYGTGTAATTACCTCTTCGGTGACAGAACGCCATTATTTGTAACTGTTAACGTGTTCTTTTTGGTGACAGGTAAAAGACACATATTGTACATTCTGATGTGGGTAATCTCTTATAAACCTATTGCATACACTGTTATTTGTTATCTTGGTGAAACTTGTGAAAAAGGCGATTTTAAAGCTGATAAACTCAGTAGAAAACACACACACACACACACACACACACACACACACCGAGTGAGACAAGCACACTGAGATTGGACTCAAAGTTAAATCACAGGTGATAAGAAGCAGTTGCTTCAATCACAAACAGCTTAAAAGCCTCTCTATCATATTCATCAACACWCACCATTCCTCCTTAATCACACTTTCACTCAAATCCCTTTATTTCCAGGCTGACAGGCTGCATGCATGGCAAGGAATACAGATAAAGTTACCACTGCATAACGTAAACACACACACAGCACACTAAGGAGCACAAAGTTGAGAGATGTTTAGAGAATGCACAGAAACAAACTCTTACTGTCATTAAAACAATGTGTTCTTCATTTCAGGAGCTTTAAGTGAGGAACAGACAACTGCAGAGGGACAGACATTTGCAATGAGAGGAAGAAGTGCACACAAAGAGCCTATTGATGGTTAACAGTGACTGCTCCACGGAAGCATGGAGAATTTTAACACTTCATCTGTCTGCATCTTAAACATCAGGGTGGTCACAAAAGCCCCTTTTGGAGGCGACCTGTGRGAGTGCTGACACACTAGTATCAGTCTCTGCTCTTCTCTGAGTGTGACTCCACAGAATCTCCTGCCTGGGATCTCCTCTCTGCACATGAAAACCCCTCTCTGCTCGTTTGCGGACGTTAACACAGCGGGCTGAGCAGCACGCGCCTCAGACCGGATGAGATGTGAGGTGAGGTGGGATTTAGGGGCTCGGTGGTCCACTCGGAACTTGTGTTATTGTCACGGCCCTGCTCCAGGTCGTGTCCAAACTCCCGCTCCCCCCTCTGCATGCGCATAAACACCAAAAACTCTGCGCGCACCATCGCAATCCCGCACGCACGACGACACGTGCCGGGGGTGCTGGGAGGGGGATCAGAGTTGCTGCGAGCGCGCGCGCATGCATGCTTGCATACCAATGCTGTTACCTTTATTTTCCCACCGCGCACGCGCACACGCAAGCTGGCCAACCGCAACACCAGCGATCTCTCTCTCTCTCTCTCTCTCTCTCTCTCTCTCTCTCTCTCTCTCTCCTCTCCTCTCCTCTCCTCTCCTCTCTCTCAGACTCACATCTGCGTGTCGGCAGGGCTTCACAGCGACCGAGCCCCCCCTAAAAAAAAAAAAAAAAACAGATAAACTCACCGCTGGACAGGAAGAAATCCCCCATGAGGAGCCCCAGCAGGAGGAGAAGCGGGAGGTCGCGTCTCAGCGCCCCCGTTTTCTTCACGTTCAGCCTCCTCCTCGGCGGCGGCGGCGTCTCCGGCGCTCCCAAATCCGTCATTTTGCTGGTAAATAAATCCAAGCCGGGCTGAACGGTAAAGTCCTCTCCCCACCTTTCCGCTCTGCTTGGCTGAATGAAGCGGAGGGGGGGTTCAAAAGAAGAAGGCAGCCCCCCCTCCTCCTTCTTCTGTCGTTTCTTTACCCCCCTCCAAAAATGATAAGAACAATATAAAAAAATAAAAGAAATAAACAAGCGAAAGATCAATCACGAATATCCCTCACGCGCACGTCCATGTTCATGTTCGGACAGGACAACCGGTGACTGGTCGGCGGTCTGAGGTCGGCCGGTGCGCCGCTGGTGTGAGCTGTCATAGCAGAGAGTGGAGGAGAGAGGGACGGAGAGAGGAGGTGGTGGAGGAAGAGGAGGAGGAGGAGGAGATCCAGCCGAGGAGACGAGAGAGGATGGTCGGTGCAGGTCCGCACAGCACGGCGCGCAAACAGCGACTGGGACCTGAGAGGGAGGGGGTGAGGACGGGTGAGCACTGGAGGGAGAGACAGAAGGTAAGAGAGAGACCACGAAAGGAGGAGAGGAGGGGTGGGGGGGGTAGGAATGAGTGACCAGGTGGATGGAAGGCAGGTGAGACAGGGGTGAGAGAAATAAGGGAGGGAAGAAGTAGATGAGCTGAGAGAAGGACCTACAGGTTTAGGCAAAACTATGTGGGGAAGAATGACTGATTTAAAAAAAATGGAAGGAATGACTAAAGTATTTGTGAATAAAAAAAAAGAAAAAAGTCAAATGAAAGAAGTAATAAAGGGGAGAAAAAGATGATTCATAGATCAGATATTTGGCTTAAAAATGTGTTGGGAAATGAGAAAACCTTGGAGGCAGAAAGGAAGAGGAAAATAAAGGTGCAAAGAATACTCCAAATTAAAAGTATAAACTAAAGAGTGAAAAAAATCACATACAAAAGGGAAGATGCAGAGTGAGGAAAAAGGAAAGCATTGAAAGGAGATAAATGGAAAACWAAGAAGTGGAGACAAATTGATGGACATAGCATTATCAAAAGGTCACATGACATTAAGACATTTTTTAAATCCTCCTCTAAGTTCCTTTTCCTCCCAAATAAACACCATTTGAAGATGCATGTGTGTTTGCAACCCAAATAAAACTACAAGCTAATTATTGATCCCTGGTCCCTTGTGGCATGTGGGAAGGATCCCAGTAACAAGATTACAAAGCTGCAAAGCCATCATAAAGAATTAGCCTGCTGAGCCACTAAGACGACCAACAGCAGCACGATTTGGAGGCTATTAGATCACACATTTTGCTTCACGTTTGTCTCAAAACTCCACCAGCTTTTTCCAAAGACAGAGTCTGTATTGCTTGTTCATGGAGCCACATCTATTCAAATAAGTTAGCTTCATAGTTATAATAGATTTGATGAGTAATTCAGATGAAATGATAATGGTTATTTAATATGTTACATCTACAAAAAGTTACCATGGGAATAAAAAATGCTCAAGTACATACAAGTCGATGATTTAATCCAGCAGGGGATTTACTTGTGAATGTGTCTGTTTTGCTTGATTCACAGGGAAAGTGCTTCCATTTTTATGGCAAACGTGTGAAAAAACAGTGAAACTGAGCAAATCCTCATTTTGCGTTAGACCTCCAAACAAAGCCCTTGGGTACTATGACCACATGGTACAGGATTTGTCAGCGCCGACAGCCTGCATGTGCTCTTCTTCTTTTTTTTTCTTTTTTTTTTCTAAAATAGATTTGTCACTAATCTCTCATYTTGTTAATCTACATAAGTACATGTCTTGTTCTGATAGTTAACATCTTTACTTTGATATCAGTTTTTGTGCGTTTGTATGCTGGAGTGTGCGGCTGCCACATGGGTTTTTGCGTGTTCGGCAGCTGTTATAATGTGTCTTTTTAGTGTGTGTGTGTGTGTGTGTGTGTGTGTGTGTGTGTG